CAGGCGAGCAAGGGCATCACAAGCTATGAACTGGTCCATGGAAAGACCTATGATGGACTGGTGGTCCCTTTTGGAAACCCAGTCTATGCCTACACCAAGCCGCAAACAGGAAAAGGAAATCCCAAATGGCGCCTTGCCTTGTTTCTGGGCAAGACAGAAGGCCAGGATGCGTGGTTGGTGGGCGATGGATCACAGGTGATGCTCACGAGAAGCGTGAGACGGGTGGATAGGCCTTGGAGCAAGTTCCTCGCCTATTACCAGGACTTCCAGACGTACACATGGGAGTACCAAGTCAGCTTCGGTGGAAGAGTTGTCCCTACGAAACGGGCTCTGGGACCAGTAGCGCTGAAGTCAGGCAACTTTCCCCCGATGGAGATGATCCTCTTCCGGCATCGAGATGAGGATGCTGAAGCAGTGCAGGCCTATGCAGAGTCGAAGGAAGGTCAAGAAGAAGCGCAAAGAGAGTTGGAGGAAGCAAGAGCTCTGGAACAGCTGGCACAGGAAAGGGAGGAAGGCGAACCAGCCCCACGAGCTCCACAAGTTGAAGAAGAGCCAAGAAGAGGAATGCCAACGACCCCAGCTCCTGAAGATCAGTCTGGGGAGAGGAGCTCAGTGCCGACCATGGTGGCGTTGCCTATGCCATGGGAGGAGCAGGGAAGTCTCTCGGCAGGGAGAGTATTGAAGAAGTCAGCGCCACCCCTTTCAGCAGTGAAAGCAGAACCAGAGTTCAAGAAGCAGAGATTGGAGGAGGAGAGCGCAAAAAGACCAAGGAGGGAAGGGCCTGGAACATCATCTTCAAGCACACCTGGAGCGGCATCTCATGAACAGATGGTAGAAAGGAGAGTCCAAAAGGTATGCGTTGGGGATGAGGAGATGTACCACCTTGACGAGGTCATTGACTCGGAGACCATTGAGGTAGAAGTGGATGAGGATGTTCCGATGGAGGCCCAAGAACAAGACCAACAGGAGATATGGAGTGAGGCGGCACTGACAAGGACGCCACCTCAGCCAAACGAAGAAGTTGAAGCTTTGGCGGATCAAATTGAAGAGAAGAGGCTGAAGAATATGGGAGTTATTGAGGACCTGAAGATCGAAGACTTCTACCTGGACAAGCTCACCACCAAGTTCGTTCGAGACTGGCGAATCAAGACTAGAACTATGCCAGATGGACAGCAGAAGAAGCAGTGGATGAGAAGGTCACGTTTGGTAGCCCGAGAGTACGCGGTTGAGCGCAGAGATGATGTATACTCTCCTGCATCGGGAAGCTATAGCCTGCGGCTACTCCCAGCGCTTTTATTGGACATGAGAAGCAAGGACTACCATGAGGAGGAGACTGGTGATCCAGTGATCGGAGCCCTGGACATCAAAGATGCCTTCTTGCAAGTGGCACAAGAGAGACCGCTGCAAATCTCAACGAGCCTGGGCAAGTATAAAGTCTTGAAGAATTTGCCAGGACAACGAATAGGAGCAAAGGCCTGGTATGAACACATCAGAGACTACTTGATCAAGAACCAGGGGTTTGTTTTTGACGTGGTCAACCCCTGCTTGGGCAAGAAGGGCGAAGGAAGAAAGGCCCTGAACCTGTTGATTCATGTGGACGACATCATGTTCACAGGTCGGTCAAAAGTGGTGGACAGATTTGTTGAGGAGTTGAAGAAGGATTTTCAGGTGGAGGTCACGATAGCAAGGAAACTTGGAGATGAGTTCACGTTCCTGAAAAGAACCTATGTGTGGGTCGAAGAAGGACTGCTGGTGAAGCCGGGACAATATGCCGCCAAGATGATCAAGATGTTTGAGGAGAGCTATGGAGTGGTGAAGAGACAGAAATTGCCGGCTACAGCAGAGATTCAGGAGGTGGACGAGACGAACCTCATTACTCCAGCGGATGCAGCAGTGTTCCGATCAATTGTTGGCATGGGCATCTACTTGTCGCAAGAAAGGCTCGATCTCAGCTTTGTGATCAAAGAGCTGGCGAGTAAGACGAGTAGTCCCACCGAAGGAGCACTGCAGAACATGAGGAGGATGATTGGCTACCTGAAAGAGACCGAAGGCCAGCGCATTCTCTTGGCCATGGGAGAAGGGAGTGAAGGAATTCAGATGAGAGGGCAAAAGCAGTGGCTGCTAGAGACCTTTACAGATGCGGATTGGAGCGGGTGCAAGTCGACGAGACGTTCAACCTCAGGAGCAATCCATGCAGTGAATGGAGTGATTGTGCACGCAAGCTCACGCAGTCAAAAGACAGTCTCGCTGAGTTCAGCGGAGTCAGAACTGAATGCCTTAGTGGCAGGTGCGTGTGATGGTATCTGCATAAGGTATGCCCTCGAGTTCCTCACAGGACAAGAGATCCAGCATGTTTGTTGGGTTGACAATTCAGCCACACGTCAGATAGCCTGCAAACGAGGAAGTGGTCGATTGCGGCACATCAATGGACGCTTGTTGTGGTGCCAGGACAAAGTGGCTGAAGGAACCCTAGAGGTGAAGCAAATCAGCACTGCCCTGAACCTGGCTGACATCGGGACAAAACCACTGGGACGCAATAGGCTCCAGCTATTGCTGTTTTGGTGCAATGCCCGTGATGGCAATGGTGGACGAGTTGGCGAGAAGGAGCATGAGACCTACGCCACACAGCGGATAGAGAAGGGCAAGGTCATGAAGATCGCCAAGTACCTGAACCGGCTCATCCTGGTTGGCGGTCTTGAGCTGGCTGCAGGGTCACGACCCATGACCGAGGTGGAGAAGCCTAGCCACTCGGAAAATGCAGAAGGGTGGTTGATGTTTTTGTGCATTGGCCTCCTACTGGGTTTGGTGTTTTGGTTGTTTGGGAAGGTCAAAACCCTCACCACCAAAGTAGAAGAGCTAGAAATTAGCTTGCGAGAAGAGAAAGCCCGTGAAAGCGATTGGGCCGACTGGCACAATAGACAGACCTCGATGGCAGTCGACTACATCGAGAGGGTGCACGAGGGCCTGATCAAGAACGGGGGCTTTGTGGATTTGAGTTCGATTGAACCCGATGACCGCAAGTACATGGAGTTCCTGAAGGCAGGAACAGGGTCAAAGCTGGTGTCCTGCTGTCAGAGCAATGGAAAACCGTGAAAATGAGACAAGCAGAAAGAGAGGGACGACCTTTCATCAATAGGTCGTACAGGACAGCATCTGATGCAGCAGCGGCAGCGGCAGGAAGACCACCACCGAGAACACCCCCAGTGAGTGCAGAAGAAGCCAGAGGCAGTGGTGAAGCAGAAGGAGAAGAAAGAATGCTATCAGGGAACACGGTCACTGTCAGGCTGGACAGTGGCGAAGTAGTTGAAGTCCCTGAGGAGTATGTGGAGGTAAGGCCAAGTTCAAGTAAGGGAGAAGAAGGAGCAGCTGATCCAGAACATCTACCAGACGCCGCGATGGAAGAGGCAGATGAAGCAGCGGCTGAGAGTGACAATGATGACGTAGAGATGGATGGATCAGAGACTGAGTCTTGGCATCCTCCACCTGTAGAGATTCCAATAGTGAAATTTAATCACTGGAACAGGCTGCGAACTAGGGCAGCTTTGAGGGCAAGACAGGACCTCATGGTTCTAGAAGCAAGTTGGTTCCATTACACCAGGGAAGGAGACAGTCGACAAGCAGGGAGACTGTATGAACTGATGGAAGAGATGTTTGAGTATATGGACTATGACGAATTCCCTAGTGTGGTGGGACATTAGGAAAGTGGAGTTGAAAGCAACGCTCACTCAACTCCAAGGGAGAGTGCGAAACAATAGCAGTAGCACTCATGACCACATGTCAAAGACATGAAACGCACAGACACGAGAAGTGTACCGCAGACCGCCTTTTGAGAGCTCAAAGATTCGCAGATACAGAGGTAGAAAGGTATATGTCAAACCCTTGTTCCTGCTACTGAGGGCGTATGTAACAAGGAATGCGACGAATCCGCCTTTGTCACATAGTCCTTGCTTGGATCTGCAGCCGAGGGGTCTCTTCTTGCATGGTTCACGTGCTATAATCACATTGATTCCAAACACGATGCCAGCCGCCTACTGACAGGAGGGAGATAACACACACTGGGAAATACACACTCACACTCACGCCCGCCCGCCTACCCACCCGCCCGCCTGCCCACCCACCCGCGCGCACGTGGAAGGAAGGGGGTGTTGAGCGGTGTCTGAAGAGCTTAGTGCTGAAGACGTCCAGGTCAGGCGCCTGCAGCCACTAATCAACGGTTGATTTGCAAACCGTGAGTTTGACTCGAGTCAATTTTTTCCGTCTGGACTTAGAATTCCCAAGAAGCACGCATGCACATGCCTCGCGAAGGCTTGTGACTTCTTTAGAACAACCAAGGCATCAAAGGTGTCGCCAACTCAGGCATTCACTTGACACACGGGGACTTTAATGTAACCCAAGCCTCTTAAGTGTACGTCCTTTCCATGGCACCGTCGATATGAGAGAAGTGGTAGGGGCCTCGAATCTGTAGTGGACCATGTGTGGAACGTAATCATCATTTAGATCTTGGCTTGGCCTCACAATCGCTCAAAAGGTGAACAAAAGCTGGTGCAGGAAAACGTGATCAGTCCACCCTTCCCTCGTGATCTTTCCACACACACTCCCATGTACAAAAGCTTCTGCACAAATCCGAGGCTGACGAAATATCCGGTCTCTTGCCCGGTGGTGTGCACAGAACCTGTTTGCCGCCTTGGGGAGTTGAGTTGTGTGGCATGCTTGGAAGATCGTGAGAAGTATCGGGAACCTGCTGAGGCGTATGTTGCTCGGCCAAGCCCTTTCTATTTCTACATGTTCGGTATCATTTGTATTTTATACTTATATAGATAGACTTTGGACCTACCATTTTCCCTTGTTATTTTAAGTGTTTTGCTTGGCAGATACATGGGGCATGCAACACCTCACGATATTACATCTCACACATGGTCACGTCCCGCTGAAGCTGGATGGCAAGCGGACAAGCCCGCATTGATTTGGCTAAGGAGGTGGATGACGTGCTGCGAATCTTTATGTCGAGGTTAACGACGCTGAAATACCGAGACTTGCCCTGCAGGGCTTCATGTTCGGGGGGGGTTGTTTCGTCCCACTTCGACCCACATCCAAAATTTTCCGCACGTCGTCGAAGAGGCAGTTTCTATTCGTAATCGTTTCTTTTGTCGCAAAGTCCTTAACACTTGTTCACAGTAAAACGCGCAAGGCTGTAGAATATTTTAACAGCCAGCTGGAATCGAATCCACTTGTCGCTGCCAGTCACACCATTTGTTGTTTTTCAAGGCGAAACCTTTCGGATCTCTGTGAATGGCCGGGTTCTAGCTGCCTGTCCATATCCTGCCGGATCTCATCTCGGAAGTGCTTTTTGGACACTCCACTGTGGGAGTTTGCCCCTTGGAAGAACTTGAACCTGTCCGGGAGACCTTGTAGACTCGCTCGTTCTTTCTGTTACCTATATTAGTGTTCGTGTTTCGGAGCCCGATTAAGGCAAAGGTTGCAAAGGTTACGTATATATATATATTATATGTATGTTCATATGGCCACATGAGTAAACACAACACTAGGTACCTTTTCACCGTAGCATTGGGCTCGAAGGGTATGCCCACGTGTGAGGTCTGCTGGAAGTGGCCGCTTCTAGCAGACAAGTGTTCGGTCTGTACCTCTACAGATCGAGTTCTCGCGGCGATCGCCCACCCTCGCATTCCTCCGACTTTCGAGGCACAAGCCAAGGTCACCAAGATCCGTGACAGCGCTTTTTACTCGATCTCGCGCCTGGTACCCGAGGAAGACAGTCCTGAAAAGGGAGTCTCATCTCCCAAGAGGGTACCTCAGGAGGAGACTACAAACGGAGAAGGATCTCCCAGTGGTCGCGTGATTGAGAAGGAGGAAGCGGAAGACAAGGCAGCTGAGGAGAGGACTCGAGGTCGAGAAGGCCCTAGTGGACAAGCAAAAGTATCCCCCTATTTACAAGCGAAGGAAGAGAAAGAGGAGGAGGCCAAGGGAGTTAGCACCACTCCCAAGCATACAGAGGATCGGAAGCCATTGCCGCGAAGAAGGGAAGAAGAAAAAGAGACTATTAAGAGATCGAGAACGCCCAAACGAAGGCAAGAGAAAGAAAAAAGAAGGCGAAGGAGACGTGAGTCAGGATCTACAGAGGTAAGTGGTTCAGAGGTCAGAAGACAGAAAAGGGAGCTTCCGGACTCCCAGAGAGAGAAAAAGGAGTTTTAGGAGAGGAGGCTGTTAAGGAGACAGCGATTGAGAGAGAGCCTTATTTGAGGCCGAGGCCCACACAGCGAAAGCCAAGGTCACCACATACACCAGATCGACCCCCGCCAGAGAGGTCATCGGGTTCCAAAGGGAGAGGTAAAGGAAACCCACAAGGAAGTGGTTGGAGGGGCCGCGGGCCGCGTGCCCTATTCCAGCCATCCCCGTTGGACGCAAGGAACCAACAAAGGGATCACAAAGAGAGCAAAGCAGGAATTGCAGGACAGGAAGTCGCACGGCAGAGGAGGCCGATATCATTGGTAAAGGGAGTGATGGCCCCCAAACTCAGAAGACCGGCGGCCGCGCCAGCTCGACCTCGCCCTCGTCGTAGACCAGCCGCAGAAGAAGAGGTTGCAGCGCCGGTGGAGAAGTTGTATGCCTGGTCGGACCTCACCATGGATAAGCTGAGGGAGGTTGATGTGATTGAGCTTGACAGAGCATCTTATTACAATGCTTCTGTGAAGATAGCAGGCAGAGTCAGGGCTTTGCGTCCAGGTGAAGGGCGCATGGACTTCGTGCTGACGGGGACTCAATCTGAGCGCATCATGGAAGCGTTTGGTGGAGGACAGGATCGTGGTGTGTCAATTCACCTTTGCAGGGAAGAGTGTGGTCAGCTCGAGACAGGAATGCGCCTTTTCCATGCCCGTGGATTCTGGGATTGCTCTGTTGCACAGAAGGAGTGGCAGATGAATCTTTCAGAGAAGGCTGTGGAGGAGCTGGACGAACTGGCATCACTGAGGAGGTTGGCTGAGGAGCGAGGCAAAGGGAGGGGAGGTGAGAGACCTCCCAAAGGTGAAGAGGCTGTTGCAGAGGAAGCTGAGGAGGCCAAGAAGGCAGGAAAAGAAAAGAAGAACTGATGGAAGCGTTTGAACTACATGTGAGCACGCGTTGCGGACAGTCCTCGGAGGGGATTTTTCCTCTCCCCCTTCCATCAGATATAGGGCTATGTGGTTACCATATCCCCTACCCTGAAGCTATGATCCGTGGGTTGAACTTGCTCGCCGGTTCGAGAAGCCGTTCCAAAGGGAAGCCTAAGAGGATTGGTTGTGAGCTGGTTCATCAGTTGGAGGTTGTCCTTGCCGGTAGTGAGTTGCTAAAGGAGAGATGGGTTAACTTAGAGTTTGATCTTTCCAATCTGCTCCTCATAGGCTTTCAGCATCTGCTGGCTGTAGTTGCCTGGCGGTGTCCATAATCCATCTTTCTCAATTTTGTACTTTCCCCTCAAAAAGTTGAATTCATCACCTGACCGAGGAACTCAGTTACAAGTTCAGTGCTGAGTGTCCATGCCTGGGAAGACATGAGAAGAGTATCATTCTGATCCATGGTTGTTCAAAGTATATCAATGAAATCAGTCTTCCGCGAAAAAGTCAAACCATGCTTTTGCTGCAATTCTCTGTCCAGGTAAATTCTCTTCACCCAAAATTCTCAAGTTCACTTGCAATGGTTTCTCCTGTGGTACCTGCAAGAATGCATCCTTCACACCAAGTCATCCTAGCATCTGAGAGAATGCTCCTTCTCCCTCTCTTGCTTCTTCCTCTTCACTGACTCTCTGCAAGAATACTGTTAGCAAAAGCTTCAGTACATGTCCTGAAGTTGCTGGTGAGAAAATGTCATCTCTCACTTTCCTTCAGCAAAAGCAATTCTCTTGCAACTAGTCTCGATCTCTTCCACCTCTTGATTGCCATTCCATCTCCATGGTGATAAGGCTTCTTTCTCCAATCATACACATTGCATGTTGCCAGGTAACTGACACCTTCTGTGCTACCTTCTGGCCTCTCTTGCGCTTGCGTCTTCTGGAGTCTTTTCTCTGCAGCTTCATCAGCTACCTTGTCTATCCATCCTTCTGGATCTTCTTCTGGTTCATGTTCTCCATCACGCCACAAACATTCCGGTCCATTCCACTCATCTTCTTCTTCCTCATCTCCTTCTTCTTCCCAGTCTTCTCCATCAACTTTTTCTGCAACTGGGGATGACTCTTCATCCACATGATAAAGATCTTCTCCTGCAACTTTCACCAAGTTAAACTTGGCTTTCTTGAATCTTCTGATGGCCTGAGTTTCTTCATATGGCTTTCTTCTTCAAGCAATCCAAATGCTTCCCTGGGTCTTGAAGGCGTTGATGGTGATCTCAAAGAAGATAGTATCGGAGTAACTGGATTGGGTTGTCCTGCTGGCACTGATGTATGTAGATGGGAACGCCTTCACCTTCACAAGTGAGACAACACTCAGCTGCGAAGAGAACTTTCTGCTTCTTACTTGGTGTCTCTTCTCCACCGGGCTCCCTTTCATCTCCATCTTTTTTCATTGCTTCAACCGGATTTCTACCGGGGCTGGAGCCGGTATTGGTTTCTGCATCCCCACCCATGAACTTCAGCATCACATGCTCTCGAGGAATGTCTGTTTGTGTTGCTGGCAATGCTTCTGCTCTCCTTTTTGCGGCAACGATTCTGCTCCAAAGTTTGTTTGATACTCCCATGAGTAAGGATTGAAGCTTTTGTAGGTTGGCAAGTATTTGGACCAATCTTGATCTGTTCTTCTGATCCATTTGCTTAGCGCTACCTGCACACCATCTGTCAGCACATAGGTGTCTTGCCTTTCAACTTTTCCAAAAAGCAAGCATAGATGCCATCGAGCTTCTCCTTTGTTGAGACTTTGCATATAGCCGTGGCGCCCAACTGGCGTGTCTTGCTGCCCAAGTCCAAAGTGCACGATCTGATCCTACCTTGATGCCAAGTCTTGACTGCGCGCCTTCAATGAAACTTCCTGCAAGCTTCCTCACCCTGTCAACTGCATTCTCTGGCAGAAATGAATGACCTCCAAGCTTTGAAGTGTTCAATCTTGTTGCCAGTCCTAGGCTGTGACGAGCGGTGATCAGCATCTTGTCACTCCTGTAGGTGATGGCTGAATACCCCAACAAATGACTGAACTTCATCAACTCTTCCACAATGAGACGAAATTGGTTCTTGCTGCTTCCTAATAGGCGCAACATGAATGTATCCAGTCTGGCTGTCAATTACAACTAGCCCACATACATACTGCTCTTGCTGACTTTGTTTGTGAATCTCTCGCGCTAGTGTAGCAAAAAATATCACCTCAGAAATACTTCCTCTCGTCAATCCACCTGTTCTCTCATGGCGAACTGGACGTGCTTGATGTTCAACGCGCTCCTTACACCAAGTGGCGTATGTTAGATGTGTCAAACTATGCTTTGTCTGAGTGGCTTCATCTGGCATCTTTGCCACGCTTTGTCCTAGTGCTTCTCTTGTCTCTCGAGCCTTTGCTTCGCTCACCAAACTTTTTGGCGTTCAAGATTTCCATGTTTTTGTTATGACTGAGGATCTTTGTGTAGACCTTTAACTTAGAGCCGCTACCTGAAATGCCGACAAATCACACGCTGCCCTCAATGTTGCTAAAGTAGAACCGTGAGCTAACTCTACTCCATTCTCCATTCGCCAAGACTTTGTCTACATCCAGTGGGCTCAATTGTACTTCACACTCAACGTCTTCTTCATTCTTACGATTGCCTTTTCCGCTTCTTTCTTTCTCTCCTCTCTGTTTTCAAGCTTCTTGTATCCTGGTGCAAAGAATCCCATATCAATAAGCTTCCAACTGGCAGTCCATGCCGATTGAATTTCCAACCTGCTGCCGGTACTTGCGCTTCCAAGCAGCTTTCATCTTCATCTCTAATGACCCTAGCGCGGCCTTGTACTGTCAAAGAGCGAATTTGAAAGTTGAGTGGTACCTTCAAGTCACCATTCTCCAAAACTTGCTCTCGACAATTGTTTCCCCAACCATGCTCCATAAGGCTGATTTGCCTTTGAACTGAAGATCACATTCTCTTTGAGAAGTACTTCACGTCCCTCAATGCCACGCAAGGAAATTTCCCCACTTTTGGGGATATGGTTCGGTCTGGGCCCGCGGCTGGGGGGTGGGAGGGGGCTGGTTGCGGGCCTGGGCCCGCGGCCGCTGAGAAATTTTTCCGCTTGGTCTTTGCGCTGTACTCCAATTCTCCTTCTCCATGATCTGCCATACTCAAAGGGGATAAAGCTACATCAGCTCCACTATCAATAATGATGGCCACATCCTTCCTCCTCTCTCTCTCTCTCCCTTTTCTCCAAGTCTTCTAACCTTGGACTCCTCGTTCTCAATATCCATCAAGTTTTCCTCGATGAGGTTTCCTCCTTCCTCACATGGCTCATCATCATCATGATCGTCGTCGTCGTCGTCATCATCATCATCATCACCATGATGATGATCATCATCATCATCATCATCATCATCATCTCGAATGTAGAAATGAACCGCTCGAATTCCATGATCTTCTGCTTCATCATCCCTTTCTCCCAAGTCAAAGATGATTGGCTCACTGTTCTCAACCCTTCTGACCACTGGTTTGGTCTCTGCTGAGCTACTCTGCTGGCTAACATTGGCTTGTTGTTGACCACTCACTGATGCTCCTCCTGAAGATGAATTTGCTAGATCGCTTGCCGCCTGTCGAATATTGTTCCTCCAACAGTCCCGAGCAAGATGTCCTGGCTTCCCACAAGTGTAGCGTGTTGCCACGCCTTCTTTTCCTGTCTAATCTCCTTTTCCTTTCTTTCCTTTGCCCTTGGCATCCATACCTTTGCCTTTCTGATGGTCATTCTTGCCCTTCTTGCTTTTTCCTCTTGAATCTTGGGCCCGATCAATGTCCGCTGGCATCGGTCCTTGATAGTCTGTTCTGCTACTTGCCACCATTGCAGTAGCCCACTTGTGCTGAGAAGATCCCACTGCAACAGTTGTTCCCTCAAAGTTGAGTGTTGAACATTGTGGCCACTTGTCAAATTCAAGTCTCAAACCAATAGCAGATTTCAACTCTTCTTGAATTGTCGCCCCTGCCTTGACCGTCTCATCAACAGTTCTTCAAGCTTCAGAAGTTGAGGTTGTAGTGATTGTAGTGCCCGGTTCATTGAAAATGCTGGCCATGTAGTGGCTGCTCCCAACAGTGCTAGGCCTCTAGCCTTTAGCTTTTGAAGTATGTTTCAAAGATTTGTTCAAACTCCTCTAGGCATCAAATCCATTAGAGACCTCCACCAATTGCAGTGCTCTTCCCCTCATCAATGAAGCTATCGCGTAAAGCTTGATGCACCTTGGCTTCTCTTTTGTAGTTGCCAAGTCCATGTCAAACTTCTCATTTGGCTTGTCATGAATGTCTTTCAACTTTTTGATGTAAGCCTTATCAACTGAGCTCAAATACTTCTCAAACACCCATGACCGCTCTCTAAATGCTTTGATTTCTTCTTCTTGTGACTTGTAGTCAAAGACGTTGGGCTTTGCTATCAGTTTTGACCAATCAGTTGTTGATGACTTCTTGTCCTCAACTGCTGCTTTCTTCACTGCCTCAGCCACTGATGTTGTTGCTTGTGTACTCTGAGTGCTATAACCTGAAGGTTTCATCCATCTTTCCTGCACACTAATGTCTTTCTGACACAATGTGCGGGGTACAGAGTGCAGCTCACAACAATTTATCACCAGTTCAGTGTTTGGGTTCCAAAGGCACCAAATCTATGGCTCGAAATTGTTCCCGCGATCCCAGTGACCTAGGGGCTATTCTCTGGAGCTCACAGGGGGTTACCCTTATCTTTGCTCCGCTACCATGCGAACTTTTCTCAATAAGCAAAAGGGCTGCGGTCGCATCAAAGACTGCTTTACATGCTGTACATGTTCACTATGATCTACATTGAAGCTTCTTCACTATATACATATAAACATAACTTACATGTTTATCTGCAAAGGGATGTGGAAGCACCAGTCAGTTGCCCAGGATTTTCATGTAAACGGTGCTTGCTTCTGTTTTCTTCATTCAGCTCAGTCAGTTTTGTCCTCATAGGATTCCTTTGGCCAGTGTGGTTTGGCCATTGCTTTAGCACATCTGAGGTCAGCAGTGTATTTGGTCGATGGTACAATGCGACGTGGGAGATATTTAGATGGCGTGGAAGTGGACCGGCTTCGACCTTTGTGCAGAGGTGGAGTGACTCAGTGGGAAGTTTTGTTTCAACCCCTGACAAATAGCCAGAGTTTCGCAATGATCGGATTCTTGGTTTTGCAATCAGAATCAGAATGATGTCTCCTTTATTTGTATGTTTGATTGCATTTTTACACGTGATGCGGGATTCCACAGAAAGTCTGTCATACACTGTGGTGCCGGATTCTTTCTGCAGGGGGGTGCTTGCTCCTAGGGATTCTGACATGTGGTCCAGGCTTCACGCCGTCATGCTGTGTGTGCAAGGTGCTGTTCACAATGTACAGTATAGCAACTCAGCACACGCGCGCATGTGCGGTCCACAGCGCACGGAGAACTGGCGGAATGGACGCCGTGTTTGGATTTGCGCCAATGTGTTCTTTTCCAACCCAGCACTTACAAAGAATCCGTCTATTTCAAGAAACTTCGAAACTTCAGAGACAGTCCCAAATGATGAGTGATTTTCTTTAATTAGATGATTTATCATGCGCAGAACGTTCTTTTATGAGACTTGGATGAAAGACGACTCGTTTGTATAAGTTTTTGAATGGCAAACTTTTTGCATTTTTTAAAACCTACTTGGAACCATTGCTTTTAGGTTGGAGGCCATCGCTGTTAGTTTGCAGGCCATCGCTATTAGGTTGGAGGCCATTGCTGTTAGTAATTAAAACAATTTTTCTAGATCAAGGGAATGGTGACTCGCGAGTCCCATGTGCTATTGTTCCTGGATTCTTACACTCAGAGCAGCGACGTGGAGTGGTTGGTTTCGCAAAGCAGTGTGCCATTTCCGCTTTATGACTAGCGTTCTAAGAGCTTGCGATCTGATCCATCTTTACAAGAAGACCTCCCTTCAGGACTTTGGTTTCGGCCTCCTGTCTAGCTTCGTTGGTGGCGTTCGTTTGACACTCATCTCGTTTGGGTCTGGTATGCTCTTGTTTCGGCTGCTTAGGTGAGGGTTAATGGGCCTGCATCTTGCAAGTCTGTAGTCTCTACTGAGTTTTGTTCTATTTTTGCTTCACCCCTTCTGGCGGTTGACTCACTGTAGAGTGCCACGGTGCGGTGGAGACCCTCAACCTTTAACGGGTAGCGAGCTCGAGTGTCAGGCCCGTGTGCAGCAAAAAAGTGGAAGAATCTAACCGTTAGATATTTATCAGTGGATAAAGCCAAAGCGCATTTTGATCATCTCAGACTGTCGGAGGCTCAGCCCAGCGCTGGGACGTGCTCGTGACGGCGCCCGTGCCATCCATGGGCTTGCCTCTTCCACACGGAGCTCATCACAAAGCCAAGCCATCCACGTCCAAGGCCCCAATCTGTTGAGGAAGATCGACCTCAAAGAAGACACCAAAAGACACCTAAGTAGTCAGAAGTCGGTCCTAATGGTAATAGTAACAAAAGAAGTAGTAGCAGGAGGAGAAACCCAATATAGAAAAAGCCTGAGCGGCCAGAAAAAGAGCTTGAGGGCCAGAGGCAGAGCAGGTAGGAGCTCTAGAAAAACAAAGCGCGTAGGAGCTCTTGACCAAAGCCAAAGTGAAGCCAAAGCGCCGCTCCTTTTCCAGAATGTAATTCAGCGCCCAAAAGGGCGCGGATAGGGAGGGTGCCCAACGGCAGCTTCGAAACCCAATATAGAAAAAGCTTGAGGGGAGGTGGGAGCTCTAGAGAGACAAAGCACGTAGGAGCTCTAGACCAGACGCAAAGCGAAGCCAAAAAGTGGAGCTATCGCCACAGCCAAAAAGCGGAGGTAGCGCCACGGCTTTCCCCCATCTAATTCTGCGCCCAAAAAGGGCGCCTAACGGCAACTTCGAAGCCCAATGCAAAAAGCTTGTGAGGGGCCAGAGGCAGAGCAGGTAGGAGGCCTAACGGCAGCTTCGAAACCCAATATAGAAAAAGCTTGAAGGGAGCTCTTTAATGATGAAAGGGGCCAGAGGTGCCAGACGGCAGCTTCGAAGCCCAACAAAGGAAAGCTTCAGGAGGCAGAGGCAGACCCAATAAAAAAAACTTGAGGAGCCAGAGGCAGAGCAGGTAGGAGCTCTTTTGAAAGGTACCAGAGGTGCCAGACGGCAGCTTCGAAACCCAATAAATAGAAGCTTGAGGAGCCAGAGGCAGAGCAGGTAGGAGCTCTTTTATGAAAGGGACCAGAAGAAAGCTTGACAGAGCAGGCCGGTGGCACTCAATCGCTCCGCTACGCCGTCCCAGGCAGCTAAGCAGGGGTCGGCGGATATATATATATATATATATTATGCTATATATTATATATTATATATTATATATATAGATTATACATGATATATAGTATATCTGTTTTCAATGCCACTCCCTATCTAGTTGAAGTCGGATAAAATGATCATAGACACGCACCGAAATCCATGAGACCGCAAAAAACATGAAGAACACGCGGTAAACATATGTTTTTCTGCAGTCTTTTTTCCTTTGCTGCAAGGCCATATCAGTTGCCCGGACAGTGCGAGAGCAGTGCTTCTTGGAGGCGCGCCCGGGAACTTCTGTTGGCTTTTCTTGGTCCTTTCGTCGAGTCTTCGAAAGACGCAAGCTTCCAAGACAACGCGCACCGATCAAAAAATGGTAGTCAGTATACAGGCATGTCATGCTCGGTATACTGTTTAACATTTTTCCGCTTCCACCGCAATTTTGCCTGAAAGGAATGCAGGAGCAGCGCCTTTACTTCAATTGAACGCGCACGCACTTAGATCCATGCTTGCAAGAGCTAGATCAGTTGGAAGCTCCACTCTAGTGACTACATTACCGGCTTAGAGCACTGGGCAACTTGAGACCTGAGAAACAGCCCTGAGAGGGAACGGCAAGGTGAACAAGTCCGAAACAGTTTTGTTTACATCGTTTGATTGCAGCTCCACTGTAGTGATTACATTACCGGCTTAGAGCGCTGGGCAACCTGAGGCTTGAGAAACAGCCCTGAGAGGGAACGGCAAGGTGATAAAGTCCGAACAGTTTTGTTGACATCACTTGGTTTAAAAATTGAGAGAAAATGCGCAGGTACGTTTACACCCAGGTGGGGGGTGTCTTCGTTGTCCGGAGACCCCCCACCTGGCTCCGGCCCCCTGCTTGCCTGTACAGCTTGAAAACCTAGAGGGTCAAGGTGGAATTGAACCGATGTGGTCGTGCTCCTTGGAAACAGGAGTTGACACACACACACAGCCGTATCGGCGGTCCCTTAACTGAAAAATTGAGTTGTAACCCAAAAAGCCTCTAGCAACGAAGGAAAGACTTAGAAAGAGAAACAACGAAGGACAGAAAGCAAGACCGTGCATGAATTATTTAGTGTGAAACGTCCAGGTGAGTATATTAGCTATGAAAGAAACCTGAGTTACGCATAAAAAGCCTTTAGCGACGAAAGAAGACCTAGAAAAAGAAGAGAATCAGGAAGAAGGACAGAAATCGTGGTGAAACGTCAAAGTGAATACATTAGCCGCGTGGCATGTCATTCTGTGAAAGTTTTCAGCGAGCCCTGCGGCGGAGCGGCGATCTCGAGAAAGGACGAGAATCCAGTGTTGATCGCGCAAGACGAGTAACCGAGTAACATGAAAAATCTCCCTTAGTCAAAGCGCCCCGAAGGGATCACACACCACAGTGGGACGATGCTGCGGCACGCACTTAGATCCATGCCCGGACCGGAAGAACTAAATCAGTTTGGAAGTTCCACTGCGCTCTAATGATTACATTACCCGCTTAGAGCGCTGGGCAACTTGAGACCTGAGAAACAGCCCTGATAGGGAACGGCAAAGTGAATATGTCCGAAACATTCTTGTTTACAGCATTTGATTTTAAAACTAAAGGAAAATGTGCAAGTACGTTTGCACGCAGGTGGGGGTTGTCTTCATTGGCCGGAGAACCCCGCCTGGCTCCGGCCCCCTGCTTGCCTGTGCAGCTTGAAAGCCTAGAGGGGTTAAGGTGGAATTGAACCTGCAAGTGTTGAGATGACACGCGCAAATCATAGAAGTGTACCAACAGCCGTTTTTTTGCCCAGAAAAAGTTCGAGGGCTGCACGCCCAGGTTATGAGCCCAAGGTTGAAGGAGTAAGCCCCGGCTGAGGAGGTCGATCGCTGGGCTGCCCTGCGCAGCTCGCAGCCATGTCCATGGTGGCGCGGCGAAGAAGAAGGGCATTGAAAGAAGCAGGGGGGACACTACAAGGCTGCTGGAGGTGGACATTCAACGTGATCAAAGTCACGACATGTCCAAAGACGATGCGATGTACGCAGCGTTGCTTCGTATTGCAATGCTGGGCTGGATTGACGCGGTGATCGGAGGCCCAAATTGCCGCACTCGCAGTGAGTTTCGTCATCATCCGGTAACGGGACTACCAGGGCCCTCGCGATCGTTGGGAAGGCCATGGGGTCTGGATGAGTTGGATGAAGTGGAAATGGCCATTTGGACGACCTCTTGTTGTTCCGCATGGTGACGTTGTACATCATGCCCCTGCGCAAGGTGTGCCACGACAATGCCCTCATAGTGACCCTTTTTCTTTAGATGTCTGTGGTGATGCTTCGAGCGATTTCTCTCATCGTCCCCGGACCCACCTGGCAAGGTCCGAACTTGACACTTGGTGCTAATTGGTCCTCAGAAACGCCTTCGGAGGGCCTCTATCTTCGGGTACCACGAACTCCATATTGAGCGCCAGTGATGTTGGCTTGACTGCCATTCCCCCATAGGCACCCTGGTTGAAGGTCACCAAGTCCAAATTGAGGTATTCCTCCATTCCTTCTCCAAAATGAGGCCACTTCCGGCATGCGCTGAGGTGCCGCTGGCTGTTCCATCAGGAATTTAAAGACTGGGAGCAAATTGGCCCTTCTCTCTTGAGCGAGTCGTGCATCTCGACCCAGTTTGGCGACGAGACTGGCCCGCGCTTGAGGAGGAAGCTCTTCAAGATGTTGAGTACGAGGTGACACGAGACCTGACGGCTCGACCCACGTCTGATGAAGGAGAATTTCAGGGACTTGATGACTGTGAAGAAGGAGGTGAATCACCAGGCAAAGGAGACGGTGCTCAGCAAGAACTGTTGCCAGACCCAGAGCCTGAAGATCGGGGTGAACCGTCAGTGCCACTTCCAAAGACGCCCGAAGAGACAGAGGAGCACCAAAAGGTGTATAAGATGGTGACAATGTCTATCTGCCTCCCGCTGTCTTCGAAGAGCGCCTCGCAATTACTGGCTGGCGTTCAGGAACTTTTTGGCGTGTTGAGGAGGCATGGCTATCCGGTGGCACGAATCCACACTGATGCTGGAAGGGAGTTCGACAACCATCCATTCAAAGATGGTGCCTGCAAAGGGGGCTCGGACGTTCAGCCCGCCGGACGAGCGCCAGTCGAATGGAAGAGCTGAGGCTATGATAGCTTCGATCAAACAACAAGTCCGTCGTCTTCTACATGCCTCTGGTATGCCTACGAAGTGGTGGCCAGCTGCAGCTAGACATGTGACTGAGCTGGAAAGGAGAAGACGGGAAAACATCGAAGAAAAATTGCCCCGCTCTGGACAGCTCATCACGGTGAGGAAGCGTGCGTGGGAACGTGGGGGGCCTTTCGAGGTGACGTCCGAGACGGTGACCTACCTCACCCCAACCCCAGAAGTGTCTAAGGGACATGCAGTGCTCACGGACAAGGAGAAGGTCAAGGTGGTGAGCTACCTGATCAAGGACACCAAGGAAGCTAAGCCGGATGAGCGATGAGATCAGGTCATGGAGGAGGTTCACATCCAAGATGACCTTGTTCGACTTCGGTGGAGACTAAGGGAGAAGACCCCGTTGGCTTGCGTCCAAGGGGTAGAGGACCTGAGGAGAGAAGATGACCGCCGAATGTGGAGGGGTCTGCTCCGAGAGAAGTGCCGCCATTGTCGCGAGGCCTGATTGCACTGAGGCAGGAGCAGGTGGCGTCTACCCAAAGGCTTCTTGAAGATGAAATCCTGCAAACTCGCATCGCGCCGAGCAATGAGGTCTACAGGGATCGGGCGCTGTGGATCGAGGCCATCATGAAGGAGATTCAATCCTTGGAGGGTAAGAAAGCGATCCGAAGGTTGACGCCAGCGGAAGTGGCCGACTACCAGAGGGAGCATGGTGACAAGGTCGAAGTACTCCCTGGAAAGGCCATACATGCAGTGAAAGCTCCAGATGGTCGCAGAAAGTGTCGTCTGGTGGTGTGTGGAAACTACCTCAAGGGAGCTGGAAGGGGCCCAGGTGATCGCTCAGAAGCAGCTCAACTCTATGCAGGGGGTGCTGATACTACTTGCTTGAGGACCTCTTTGGCACTGGCCGCACCACGCGGGTGGCAAGCTGCCAGCTTGGACATCAAGACAGCCTTCCTGAACGCTCCTCTACGAACTCTCCAAGAAAGCAGTAGAAGGAAAGTGCTGGCGCTTGAAGATTCTCACGGTCGCCTTCAAGAGAACGAAGAGGGAGATGGAGGAGGTCGTGAAGGTCAAGAAGACTGCATGCAGGAGGACAACCCAACCAAGAGAAAAAGGTTGGTGCTGATGCTCCCACCAAAGATCCTAATTCGCTTGGGACTGGTGAAGGAGGGGGAAATGTGGCTGATTGAAAGGGCTCTCTATGGCCTGCGAAAATCTCCAAAACTCTGGGGAGAATAGAGGGACATTGAGATGTCCTTCCAGGCCAACCACGTCACCTACGAGTACCAACAGAGCTTCACAACCTGTGGCTGGTGCTTCGAAAGGATTCTGGAGATGGCCTTGGTGTACGTGGACAATGTGATGCTGTTTGGCACCAAGGAAATAGTGGAAGGTGGGCTTCAGAGCTTTCGAAAAACGTGGGAGACTTCAGAGCCTACGTGGGTGGGAGAAGCAGAACCGGTTCGGTATTGTGGTATGGAACTGAGCAGGACAGAACAGGGAGACTTCTTTGCCAATCAATGGCTCTGCAGTGCCCAACTCATGAAAGAAGCTCAGGAGCCTGAAGATGAGCTGGATCGAACACCTACACAAGTACGAGAGGCACAACAGCTCGGAGGAGAACTTCTCTGGTTGGCCACAAAGACAAGGCCGGACATTGCCTACGTGGTCAGCAGGATCTGCTCAGCGACGAGCCGTGCACCTAAGTCGGCAGTTCAAACGGCGTACCAGCTCATCAGACACTTGAATGCCACCCAGGGGCTTGGACTTTGGTATAGAAAAGATGCCAACTTCATCCCGGAGTCCAGTGCTTTCATCGAAATCGAGTTCGAGGGCATCCAGTGTGCGGAGCATGCCAGAGGTCGACTCAAGGTCAGAGAAGCCTTGATGCAGCGGACTTCATCTATGAAGACCAGCTCGGGAATCATCACACCGATGCCAGGTGTGACGCGGTGACTGGGGCGATGCTTGAAATCAGGCAGTGTAAAGTCTGCCGAGGAACGGCTTGAGCTGGAGGCGCATTTTGTGCAGTACTGGCTTCATCAAAAAGATGAGCCAGGGAGGAGTGCAAGTGTTGAGATGACACGCACAAATCATAGAAGTTCATAGAAGTGTACCAACAGCCGTTTTTTTTGCCCAGAAAAAGTGCGAGGGCTGCGCGTCCAGAACCATTGTGGTCGTGCTCCTTGGAAACAGGAGTTGGCACACACACACAAACACATCGATAGCAAATGGATTGAACATAGTTTTGACATGCTTTGACACTTCATACAGTGTAGAGATTGAATGAGACAATTCTTTAACGAAGGTCTGACATTCGCAGAAGTGACAGAGGAAGAAAGGGCACTACGCAGTTTCAAACCTAGAATAGGCTCAAGAGTAGGTCACGACAATCCAACACCCCGATAAAATGAGAGACGCAGAGCTACAAAACGTCCGAAGAAAGAATTACTTTTACAATCAGCAAGGCAGACAACGCAGAGCAGACACGATAACCGAAACACCATTGGAGGCGACATGAAAAGCACCAACGCAACGTTGAACAGAATTGCAAGAAATGGGCGATACAGATTAAAAAACCGCGCAATCTTTGCGTTGTGATAGGGCTCAGACCCTCGCAGCTGTGGCCACGAGCTCGAGGCCGCCAACGTTGCCCGTTTCTGCGAGCTCGGTGTGGCCACTCGGCTTGGCCTGCAAACTTGTAGGCCTGCTGCTTGGAGGTCGGCTTGCGCGCCGATCTTCCTTTGCCCACCCTGGCCAAGATTCAGGCTAGCCGGACTCCCGCCAGCTCAAGAAAGCAACGGCCGCCCTTCACCTTGGAGAGCAAATGGACTTAGACTAGCCCGTGTCGAGGAGAAGGCTGACCTGGCCTCGAGATCAGCGCCGCCAGCTTGTCAAAAACTACTGACTCCTTGGCGCCCCAGATACAAAGATTGACAAATGCTGCCAAATTCGAAGTCTTTCTGCAACATGGAAATACCTTGAGCGTGATTGCAGGCATCAACCAATCCAAGAACACTATCCATTAAAAGGTTGCACTGATGACCGAAACAATTCAAGAGGCAAGTGCCCAAAATTATTGAAGCCATCATCACCCAATGAAGGTTTAGCTTGAGACAGGCTCTTAGCACATTGTGACATTGTGACTTGAAGGGCATGTCACGAAACAAGGTAAACACTGGGCAAATGTTCCGACAGCGCAATCCCCTTGCAACACATGCAAGATGCTCATGCAAAATACGACGAGACTTCAACAACATCACGCTCAATTGCTGCAGGCAAAGATCAGCAGGCAAAGATTGAAAGGTGAACAAGTATCACGCTGTAAGACAAGGCAGTGGTTTTGGAAGCTTTCAATATCGCCCAAATAGCGGACGATTTGTAGACGCCACAGGGCTGGCTCTGGTTGGCTGTAGGCTGAATGCCTAAATCCTAGACCGCGTATTTTATGGAGATCTCCATCCTGAGCGCAGAATGATGGGGTCATTCTTGCTATTTGTCGAAAGCCTCACAGACAGCGCAAGCTTCAAAAGTTGTCCACACTACAACAAAGAAGACTTTGGCGGCGCCAACGCCAGTCCAAACGTTGCCGAACCAATTATGAGCAGATGCGACAGGGTCTCAAGTTCAGTGTTCTGCAGCAAGTTGAATGCTCACAATTCAAAGGTGCATGATGATCCAGGCATACACACATGCCCACAAATCAATGAACTTTGTTTGGAAGCTCATCGATGTACTGTATACTGTAGACCTACCTGCAGGCATAGGACAACGTTGAAAACGCGTTTGTAAAGAAATGTTTGGATTGCCAAACTTGGGAGGCACAAAAAGCAAGCAAGCGAACAAGCTTATGACTGGTAGGCTTTCACCGAACAAGATTCTACTGCGTGAAGGACACGAGAGAAAGGTGAACGTGCCCCTGGAATGTTGAAGACGCGCATCATCAACAGACACTGATCCCGCCACAGGCAGCGACAGAAAACACAAACGCTTGACAGCGTTTCAAGGGATAGGGACTTCCGATTTAATGTTTTCTGAAAGGTATGTTGAAGACTGATTGGGTGACATGTTACAACATTTTTGGTTTTTGGCTACTGCATACTGCAGAGGAAAAGGTCGTTGCTGTCACGAAGTGATGTGCATTGATGTGCATTGTGACTGTGCGCGCAGTGGTGCATTGCCCCTCCACCACAAACAGCGTTGGACATCACGCGCACGGCTTTTGCTCATGGCCGACTGTGCCATGAAGTTTGCGTCACAGCTCTGGACAGGAGACTATTACGGCGCTTCGAAAGGGTGGCAGCGTCCTAATCCCGGCCGATGTAGCCGGGTGGATTTCCGAGGCGAGTTCATTGAACGGAGTCGTTCATGGTCATTCTGTTTTGTTTTACTTCTCTTTTGAAAGTGTGAACGAGCTTTTTGCAGTTGCACATGGGGGAAACAGACAGTCCAAGCCTCTTCATTTTGACAACCTGCCTTCTGGGTCTTCCCTCCATCAGTCATGGTCTTCCCATGTATGGTCTGATCTTTCAACATCCTCTGCCATCAGGCCTTGCTTCTATTTGAAGCAGCTTGGGGGCAAGATCGACAGCTCAGCAGCTATCCCATTTGCTGGCTCTCTTCTGTTGGAGACATGGTGCTGGACCAGGCAGCCGTGACTCTTCGGGTTGCATTTGTTGCACTCTGAAACTGGTTGCCTTTCACTTCATTGCACTGCGTGAAACGGATTCGTTTGGAGGTGAAGACTCGCGTCTTGGCTGCGTTGAGACTTTGTATGTGGATGCTTTCGTGGACGAACCTGCGCCCTACTACTTTCTTCTTGCCAGACTTGCGTCTGGAGTCCACAGTGCCATTCGGCAAGTGACCTGCATCAACTTGCCTGGCACCATACTGCTGTTAGAGTTAGGGTACCACGTATATATCCTGTAGCATATATTTGTATATGTATAATATGTTTCAAAGAGTATTCATGCTTTCGTACTGCAGGGACCACCTTTGGCTGGAGGGAAAACAGTTCGCCCCGTTTGTGATGCCGATCGCGTTCAGCGAGCCATAGGTGCTTTAACCTTGGTAGCGGAGCGCGGTCAAAGTACCGGGCTGTGGGTATGATCGCGGCGCCGCAATGAGTGCCACCTCATTGCACGACCACAAAGTTCTTCTTGGGACTAGGCGCCCCCTGAAGCATAAGACGCTTACACATTCCAGTGGCGACGCCTTGGAACGTGTCATTCCCTGAGGTGTTCAAGGGGCTCACTGAGACTTTCAGCTTCAAAAGCGATGAAGGTGAGACTCTCGAAGCCCGGATTAGCAGAGCGACTGGTCAAAGTAGCGGCAGTCCCCATCTGGAAAGGGAAAGGAAAGACCCAAAACGAGAGCCAGTCAGAGACTGCTGGAAGCAAGCGTGGAAAAGGTCGCTGTTTGTTTTTGGGAAACGTGTCTGTATGGTTTTAGCCGAACATGCCGATCGTTTTATTGTATTCGTTCTTGCTTTGTGATTATTCGGAAGGCCGCTCAAGATTGAGTAAATGTTGACGTTGAGGGTTCGTCCACTTTCAACTTGGAGCAAGGGCATTTAGATCATGGTCCGGCTCTGAAGAAAAATGAGCGGGGCATGTTGCAGTCGCCAGGGTTAAGTCGAAGTGGGTCTCTTCATGGTCCTTATGCAAACCGTTGCTTTCACAAGTCAAGGGAGCTTGGCAACATCAAGGGAGGTTTCCTTGAAGCAGGCGGACTGCTGCAAGCTCTGCCTGCTCTATGCAAAAATGCCGCCGGAGCCAATGATGATGACGGACGCGGTCGATGGTGCGTCGCAGTGTACGCAGCCTTTGAGAAGCTTTGGAAGATCTCAAGACGCGAAAACGGGGTGTTTCCAGCGGAGTTTTGTGGGTCGATGTGTGTTCGGGGCCCCGTCGTTTTTGACGTTACCATGTCTCAGGAAACTTTTGCGGAGGGTCTCAAACCACCTTCAGCCCCAAACGCAACTCCTGCAAACCAGCCCTCAATGAGAAGCGATATCCAATGTCGACAGAGTTTTCCAAATCCAACGATCGACGGCTTGAGGACAGCCGACAATAACAACACCATTCGTACGGGGCGAAGCAGTTCAAAGACTTGATGTTAATTCAAGAGCAGATCCAGAAGCCGTCACCGTTTGCTGTCATCGTGACGGCGCGTACATTTGGCATTCGTTCGCCATAGCGACCTCCATCATGGCAAAGACTCACCTTGGACCCCTGTTCCTTGCTACCTAGAGGTTGCCTAGCGCAGTAAGTTCCACTCTTTTGGAGGAAAAAGTCACGCCACGTCCGCAGCAAGTGTGGCTTACCAGCAATGCCCGGCAGCGACTGCCATAGACAATAGACGCCCGAGCGCAGACATCGCAATGTCGAAGGAATCGTTCCGCCTTGCTGAAGGTTGCAACGAAAAGGATGTTGGCAAAGCCTAGCAGGAACCAGGTGATCTTCTGAAGTTGTGTGCCCGACAAGGAGTCTATCAGATTTTTCAGAGGAATGTGCGCTGCAAGAACAAGCTGAAGAGCGCATCGCAACAGCTTTGCGGGCATAGCCGAAGACCTACTTCAATGAACGCTACTGCCAGAGTCATTGTTCGAAACGGATTCGTCTTCTAGATTTTCAAGTTTTGAACAGATATTTTGTGCCTGCAGTTTCCGGTCGTTATCAAATGAAGGAAGAGCGCGCCCGTGATTTTGAGCCTGTTTTGCGCGTCTGCTTTTTTGAGCTTCTTAAAGACCGATGTTTTTTGCGCGAGATCGACAAAAAGATGGTGGTCATTCCCTCCGAAAAGGCTTGCCGATGCCGGCTTTGCTTATGCAAGCTTAGACAGAAGAACATTCAAATTCTATATCTCATTGAAGTCTTGTCCATCATGCCCCACTGCAGGCGCGCGGAGCATGCTCTTAGGGCCTGTGCTGGAGGTGAACAGTTCCCTCAGAAATTTTTGCAATATCCACCTCCAGCCGTCGACAGAATGTGAGAGAGAGAGAGAGACACAGAGAGAGAGAGAGAGAATGAGAGAATGAGAGAATATGAGAATATGAGAGACAGAGAGAGAAAGAGAGGGAGAGAGAGAGAGAGAGAGAGAGAGAGAAGAGGAGAGAACCCACTCCAGAAGCCAAGCAGAAACGTGGGCTCTAGCCGAACGCCATTGGCAACTGAACCGCTGGCCGTTTTTCAGAGATTCCAATCAAAGTGGCAGACGTGACTCAATGCAGTGTGGTTTCATTTGGGAAGGTCAAAATTCAGAAGGTTGACCCTTGGTAGAAAAGTGCCAGAGTTTGCTCGGTGTGGCAAGCCAGCTCGCGATTGTAAGCAAGATTGTCTTGGGAAGGCGCAAAGCTCGGAAAAGATGTGCTTGGATGAGATGTGCTTAGATGCCATCCGTTTGAGCGTCCGTTCATGCTTTTGTACTGCAGGGGACGACCTTTGGCTGGAGTGAAAGCAGGTCCGCCCGTTTCTGATGCCGATCGGATTCAGCGAGCCATCAATGTTTACATTGTTTCAACAAAAGTTATTCTACATATATAATCGTCCGTGCGCAATACCTGTATGATGCCAGAAACACAGCAAAGGATAGCAAAAAACAGGTAACACTAAAACAGTTGTTTCAAAACAACGTACAAAATGGAACAAGGGGTGTCATGCTTGCGCTCACTGCGTAATTTGTAACTTGCACCTACCAAACGCATGCCAAAAAATAGACTAGCAAACCCCATTCCTTCTGCGCTCGGGTTCTGTCTATGAAACTTTGAAGCACCGGCGCTAAGCTAAGAACTATTGTTTGAGAGGTTCAGCAATGACGCACGGGATCTTCACCCTTGTCCCTTCTGACATGCTATCGCTGCTTTAAAGAACCTCTTTCCTGTTGGTTCTATGATTCTATGTAAAAGTTTAGAAACATTGTGGATTGGCTTATGTCTCTACGTGCGTGCAAGCCGCAAATTACTGTACCTCGTCTACATTCGTAGATGCAAGTGGTGATGCTCAAACACAAATTTTCCAGTCAGTTGAGGGCCGACAGCTGTCGACTGCAGCGGTTGGTCTTGGCTTTGCAGCCCTGATCGTGGGTCTATTAGGGCAGGTACCTTTGTAGCGCAGTGCACATATTTCTGCATGGAAATGGTTGCCAGTGCCACCATTTTCTTGAACGATTCCACCTTTGACACTTCGTAGGCAAAATCTCTTGCCATGGTGATTGCACTATCAGGGCCCAGTCTCACCAGTTCATGGGCATTCCCATGTCCTGTGTAAGACATCGAATGCAGTCGCATTGTATCCATGCGTGTGTGAATCTTGCAGTGCGCGCAAAGCACACTGAGGCCTGGAATACATGGGACAAGAAGTTCTCGAAGCGTTCGAATCAAAGATTGGGCATCATCCTTTTGCGCCTTGCAATTTTATTCTAAACTATGTCAATGTTGCATTGTTCCAAAACCGGTCTTGCACTTTGCATGGGCCGCCTACAAGATAGCAGGGCAGTGGCTTACTCGCTTGTTGCTCTAGTTTGTTTTCTGTTGCTTCTTCTCTCTCCCTCTCTCTCTTTCTTTCGGTTTGGTATGTCCAGTCCACTGTCCACTGTTTGCCATTGTCTCTCAGGCGTCGAGAAATGAGTATATACGTACAGCTGAAGCGGTCGCTCCCCAGCAAACTTAAATGACCAGTGGGGGCTCAAGTATGAAGTAAAATGCAGTGGTCGGGAAGTTCGCAAAGGTTTCCTAAAGGTTGCTAAATGTTCCAACGTATCGTTCCAACAGGTTTCGATATCAATCGAAATCAAAACTAAAAAACTAATCCGAGAATGCCTACTGCTGACCTCAACGTCTCACCCAAACAGCCGTTGAAAAAGCTCATAACTCAAGCAGGCGTGTCCAAAGGCGCCGCCCCCTGCAGACTACTGTATAGCCATCACCCAGTCTTACAAATACGTGCGCGTTACATGTATACTAGAATGGCCCATCCACCAAAAGTAACAATAAGCGCTGATGTCGTGGCAGGGGAAGCTCTTTGTGACCTCAAGCCTCAAACTGTAAATTTCCTGGCAGGACCTTGAAGTTAAAACCAGTTTCTTGGCAGGTGTGCCCTCCTTGGTCCCACTCTTTTATATATAGTTCTGTGCGGCTGGCGTCAGCGTCTCGACTGACAGGCCTACCTGGCCTAGTTGGGTGAGATTGGGCCTAGACAGGCGTAAAATGAAAGTTCTTTCGCCAGTGTGGTGGAGACACTATTTTGGTGAGATTCTGCAAAAGCTTGTCATCAGGTTTAGCGCAGAACCACTCACACAGAACTTGAATGTGCTCCAAGGTGCTGAAGAATATCCGCATCTTTCAGAGCCTTGAGGAGTTGATTGCGTCTCATCCTCTCAATCGACCCAAGGATGGAGCTGCGCTGTGCATCGATGTGGAGCTTCAATGTCAGGTTTTAGAATGTTTTAGATGCAACATTCATGGTTGTTCAGAATGGTCAGCTCTTTTCAAAATCAAATTCCTAAGAAGTAGTATGAATGCGTACCGGTACTAAGTCACAAAACACAGCGGATTGTCACCTTTCAGTTTGGAGGTCTCATTGCTCCTGCTTTAGCCTCAAAAAAAGAGAAGATGTTCCTGTACGGAACTGTCTTCAACTTGAGCTCTCCTCCTTGACTTTGCTTGCTGAACAGGTCATTTTTACCAGCTCTCAACATCTGGACGGAGGGGATGCCCGCGAACCTTGGCCAATATAGGACAAACGCAAAACATATGTGCCAAGTAGTCTCGGCTGTGCGCTTTGTTCTTTCTGCTTTACAGATAGGCTGAGCAAAAGCTGCGTGCAGTGGGAATGTCATGCCTTTTGGCGCTTGCAGAATTCCCACTAGCACAGTCTTTCGTAGGGCAGCGTGATAGAAGAGTAAGCTTAGAACAGAAATTCCGAATCATGGACACTCGGAACTCTCATCACTGATCACTTGCTAGGCCAGCTCATCAAATGAACGCTGTTCTTATCACGTAGGTAGCTGGTGAAAGAGTTGCTTCAACACTCAGCAAGCTTATTCAATTAACTTTCGCCAGTTGAACGAAGCTAGGATGCCCTGACATGCTATGTTTTGTCCGAGAACTGATCAGTGAGTGATTGCGATAGGTAGATGCACAGGAACGTCCAGATCTTAGTAAAGTTCAAAGATTCCAAGAGAGCAGAAGAGAGAAGTAGTTCAATTATTCCAAGAGAGCAGAAGAGAGAAGTAGTTTCCAACGGACAACTGCAGCAGAGAAAAGTATAGAATGTTGAGGCTTCCAGAGAGACATGTGTCACGTGTAGAAAAGTGTGGTCAGTCTAGTGACAACAAGAAAAGAAAAATACAGAGAAACGTGGTGAACAGTAGAGGCTTAGAGAAAAGTGAAAAACACACTTGTTTAGTCACACGCGCAGAAGTGTTGAGAGGTTTCTAGCGGCGATTCTTTCTCAAGCCGTTTACAGCATTCTAAGATCGGAAGTGTTTAATTTGCGCTTCGATGCATTCGCCTCCTTCCCTTCGCTCTTCGCAGGTCAATTGTCGGGGCATCTCACTTGGGTCAGGCGCCATGCCGGGCCATACATTGGCTGCAAGAGGGAAGAAAGACAAACAGTTCCCCAAACAGTTTACTCTGGCTGCGCCCTGAACCCTGTCGGGGTGTTGTTCTCCTGTGGCCTTGTCCAGGCCTTGTCTAGGTCTGTGTTTCCGGCCTTACCGTACGTGGGCCTTGCGTTGTAGATAGGTCTGCCGCCTGTTTAGGGTTGGCCTTGTCCAATGCCTGTCCGGGTCTGAGTGTCGCGCTTAGCCGCGCCATGGGCCGGGCGCCGTGGGCCTTCTCCGCGTTGTGAGGGCTTTGTCCAGACCTTGTGTGGGTCGGCCCGCCTTGCACCGGCCTTATCCCTTGCTTTGGCCACCGTGCTTTCCCTTTCTCCACTGCCTTGTCCGGTATGTCGGTATGTCGGTATGTTTTCGCGTGGCAATGATTGCAACTGTGACCCTCAGATTTTCTCATGACATATGTCCCTTCGTGTTTACACATGTGACCCCGGCAATCAGGAACTATTGTTTTCTAATGTTTTCTATATTTCCTCACATTGACGTGCGTTCTCTCCTCCTCTCCTCCTCCTCCTCCCTCCTCCTCCCTCCTCCTCCTCCCTCTCCTCCTCCTCCTCTCGCCCTCTCGCCGTGCCCCCCCCAACCCCCCCCAACCCCACCCCAACCCACCCCAACCCACACCAACCCACACCCACACCAACCCACACCAACCCACACCAACCCACACCAACCCACACGAACCCACACCCACCCACACACCCACCCACACACCCACCCACACACCCACCCACACACCCACCCACCCACCCGCCACCAATCACCAACCACCAATCACCAACCCACCAGCCAACCAACCAACCACCCAACCACCCAACCAACCACCACCAACCACCAACCACCAATTGTCCGCTCCTGTGTCGGGTGAAGTTGTTAACATGTGGGGTTTTCCGGTCCTATCATTTTTCGCAAAGTGGCTGGCAAGCTGAGGAGTAGGACCACTGAGTAGGACCTAGGCGGCGGTGCTCAGGGAGGAGTGTCGGACATGTCGTTGTGGTCCTTCGGGCAGGTGCTGCCCAAAGTCGAGCATGTAGCGGCCATCTGTGATCAGAGGTATTGGAAGGTGTGCAGGACGATGCATTCAGTTGTATTCGCCTTTCTGAAAAGGGGGAAGCAAGCGCCCCGAAGAGACCGCTGAACACACTTAGATGGAGGGCTCAAGTGAACGAGCGTAAGTTCAGAAGGTGACTCACGGATGCATTAGCGCTTTACTTTACTGGAATTTGGACCTTGACTCGCAGGAACCGCGCGATGATAGGTCAGCTGAACAGAAAGGCTTAACGAAGCGGGTTAGCCGGTAAAACAGCTTGGGCAATCGTTCAATCAAGCGCAGGTATGAACTCCTTGTTTTGTCCTCCTGTTGTCCGCCTCCAGTTGCCCTCCTGCATTCTGCTGGTGAACCCTCCTTCTCTTTTCCTTCTGTTGTCCTTGCGCTGTCCTCTTGGCTGTGTTTGGCTGCGGTGGCTAACCCTCTGTCCTTCTCTTGTCATCCTGTTGTCATATTGCTGCGGTCCGCGAACGCTGCTGGCGAAGCATGTCCTTCTCTCGCTTTTTTTCCCTCTGACCGCTTGAACAGCTGGGAACGATAGCTGTGGCGGCGCTGTGAGTCGTGTCTTGTCTGGGCCTTGTTCAGGTCTCCTTGTCCACGCGTTCGCGTCCGCGTCGCATCCTGTGTGTACACCAGGTCGGCAATCGCCCGCTTACTTTTGACTTGCGCGTGTTCGTGACTTTGCGACCTCTTGAAATGGACGGTTTTGATGCTTGCAGCGCTCTGCACTTCCTAGGTGTTTTGAACTACCTGGGTTTCTTCAGGCTTGGAGCGATCAGATCGTCGAACGTGCAATTTTTCGTGTGTGTCCTTGTCCTTTCGTCCCCAACTTGTCCGGGCCTTGGGGGCCTTTTCGGGCCGGTGTCTGTGTGTTTGGCTGTGCCATGCCACAGGGCTTTGTTTTCAACCTTGTCGGGGTCTTGTTCTGGGCGCTCTGGGCTTTTCTTCTCTGCCGGCAGGTTGTGCGAGTAGCGTGAAGCCGATTCAAGTCAACGGAGTTTGGTCACAGTCTTGAGACCTAGCCACGCGCTCTTTGCATTTTACTATTACCCTTTTGTCTTCTATACCTTTTCGCGCGCCTTGACATACTGTCATCAACCCTGCAGCGTGTGCCCGTCCTGCAGCGTGTGCCCGTATCTCCCGCGCAACAAAAGGCTTCCACCACTTGTAATTGCAGCTGCGGCCTATTTGATTGTGGCTGCGCTGCCACAACTACTGTTACTGCGTACGGAGGCAAGGCTCTGGGCAAGGCCATGATGTGTTTTTTCCGAACATTTTCTTTCGCTTTCGCCTTTCGGTAAGGAGCTCTTCTTCCGCTTGTCCTCTGAACCCAAAACTTTGCTGTGGCTTGTTGGCGTGGCGCCAGCTGGCACTTTGGCGCGTCAGTTGCTAGAGGACTTCGTGCTGAACTACTGTCACGGCAACTTGGTGATCAATTTGCTCCCTGGAACATGTATGTATGTATGTAATGTAATGTAATGTAATGTAATGTAATGTAATGTAATGTAATGCTATGTAATGTAATGTAATGTAATGTAATGTAATGTAATGTAATGTATGTATGTATGTATGCATGTAATGCTATGTAATGTTGGATCCTGATTAGTAAATAGGTCCTCTATAATGCTAAATTGTTCCAAATTTATTCAGACCCCCCTGTTTGAAAAATGGTACCTCTATAATGCTAAATTTTTTTTGGGCCCTAAATTTTTAAATTGGAAACCCAATTAATAAGGGTTTGAATTCCTTCTGAGGCCAATGATTATGATTCATTAGCTGATATAGCTTTCTCTAGGTTTCTTCAAAACTGACAGCTGACCAAAACCACCAATTCCCCAATTAAACCCTTTATAAAACATTGCTCCTAAACAAATTTTCAAGGTAGTAGACCAGGAAGGCACCTGATCCTCAATAATAAATTTGTTTTTGGGTCCTCAATTGTGAAAAGTTTTTTTCCACTGGAAAAAATGCGCATGGAATCTCCCTTTACTTAGCTCCTGAGGCCAATGATTATGATTCATTAGCTGATCTGGCTTTCTCTAGGTTTCTTCAAAACTGACAGCTGGCCAAAACCACCAATTCCCCAATTAAACCCTTTATGAAACATTGCTCCTAAACACATTTTCAAGGTAGTAGACCAGGAAGGCACCTGATCCTCAATAATAAATTTGTTTTTGGGTCGTCAATTGTGAAAAGTTCTTTTCACTGGAAAAATTGCTCATGGAATCTTCCTTTACTTAGGAAGCCATGGAAGCTGAGGAAGAAGCTGAAAGCTTGGGGCTTCTCTTGAGCTGAAGATCTGAGGCTGCAAAGCAAAAGGATTGCTGAGAACAATTACAAAGCACCTGAGAAAGGAAGCTGAATACAATCTATGAAAGGAACATGAATACTACAATCAATTACAAAAGATCCCTCACCAGGAATCCAGATTTGTTTTGGTGATAGTTTATTATAGAGGACCTCCTGTTTGTTTGAGGGGAGGGGGGGGGCCCCCGTTTACTAATCAGGCGCCAACATTAATGCAATGTTATATAATGCCAATGTAATGTATTGTAAGATGTAATGTACTGTAATGTAATGCAAAGTTCTATGCAATGTAACATGATATGTTCTGTGTATCGTAATTTGATCTGTGATATGTAAAAAGCAAAATTCACTCTGTTATGTTATGTAAAGTTTTGTTATGTCATGTTTTGCTTGTATGTATGTATGTATGTATGTATGTATGTATGTTTTTCCTAGAGTGGCTGAGTTCGAGGGCCGTTTGGCCGGGTTTCTAGCCTTGCCAGGCATGTTGCCTCACTGCCATGTTGCCTCACTGGCCGCAGTTTCAGTAGGTCTTGTCCATGTGGGTTGCCAGCCCTCAGAAGTAGTCAACTTCTATGCCAATGGTGTTCTCACCAAAGGTGTCATCGTCTGCTGTTTGGCTGGGGTTCATGGCCAGTGCAGACAGCCTTTGATTGAGATCTTCCTGTTCTTGTTCATCCAAAGCGGTTTGGAAGTTCGGCCGCTTAGGTGTTGGCTGGGTAGCGGATGCTTCTGGTGCCCCCTGGCTTTGGCTGCTTGTAGTGTCTTTCTTCTTGAAGAAGTCACTGAGTGGCGGAGAGCCTCTGGTGCCTGCACCTCTGCATGGCTTACGCAAGGCCTGGGTGGCTATGAGGCGACGTTGTCCATCCAAGTTCCATTGGATCCCACATTGCGTGCGCTTGACTTTCTCCCCAATTTGCCATAAGGCATGACTGGTGTGGCCGGGATGGTCTGCTTGGTACTCTTGGTTCACACATGGACTTTGAAGGAAGGTCGTAAAGGCAGCTTCGTTGACCCTTTTGTGGATGTTGATACCACATTGGGTACATTTCAAGTATCCCGTGGTTTCAGCCAGCAGGTGTTGGCCTGGTGCAGGCTGGTCTGGTTGCTTGTCGAGGATCTCTTTGATTTGCTGGGCACGGGTTGGCTTCTTGGGTAGCGGTGCTGTGCGCATGGCTGGTGGTTGGTGGGTGTCTTCAATCAGCATCTGAGGACAGTCTTCTTTGAGTCGTGTTTCCAGGAGTTCTGCTGTCAGCCCTTGGTGCATCCTTGTGCCACAGGCCGTGCAGTGAAAGCCACTCCTCATGTGCGGTTCCCATCGGTGATGGTTGTCAGTCCACGCTTTGCGGCACATGTTCACAAGGTCCTTCTTGTGTTGTTTTGTCTGTTTGCCTTGGTGCCTGGGTGCTTTCTGGTGGATGTAGTGCATGTTGTCCTCATAGATCTTGCTGATTCTGCTCACTGCATGCTGGTAGATCAATTTGTGGTCTTGATCAAGTGTTTCTTGCCATTCCTCTAAGAGTCTTTGCTCGTTCCCAAGCTGCCAGGGCAGAGTCCCTTTGTCGTCGTCGTAGTTGAGGTTCATTGCCTGGTGCATCTGGGGTTCTGGTGTTTTTGCTGATGTATAGTACCGTGACTCTGTTGAAGTCCTGGGGTGGTACCTCAGCAAGGATGTCCAGGAAGGGTGTGCGGTGTTTTGTCTGGCGCCACAAACAGTGGCCAATTGCACAATGACTTTGACCTGATCTGCAGTGTGTCTGGCCAGGGCGGAGTGCCCGAACCTTGGTTTGGGCCCCAGGTGTCACTCCTGTGATGGTGCCCAGTCTTCGCAGTTGGCCAAGTGCCATGGTGTGGGCACATAGTCCAAAGATCCACAGCTGGCTGCGAGGGTCGTAGGAGGATGGTGTGGCATCCAGCGTGAAGGCCTATCCACTGTGCTGCTGGAGTGGTCTATTTACAATCCGGCCCAGCACCCATGCCCTTGGTAGGGATGTGGTTGTGTACGGGCTTCTTGAGGTTCTAAAGGAATCCATCCATGAGCCCACAGCGGTTCTTCATCCTGGCTAGTCAGCCTGTGCCAGTCGAGGCCGGTGAGGAGGTCCTGATAGTGGGGCTTGCTGGCCAAACGTGAAGTCCTTTGCCATTGGGCTTCTTGGGTGAGTGCCCGTTCAAGTTGCCACCATGGTTGTTGGAGGTGCAACTCACAACTTGGATTCCGGTCTCATCCAGTGCATGAGTTCGGTTGGTTGCCAGCCCCATTCTTGGAGGTAGACAATGGTGGCTGCCAGCGGTCCACGGACACTGTACCAAGGGTATTGCTTGGCTTGAAGTTGTTGATATGTCTGCTGCCACGCTTCTTCAAGGGCTGGGAGTTACTTGTGGCCAGGCCTGGATGTCCATGTCTGCCATTGGCTCTGTGTACTTCTTGTCGTAGTAGCCGTTGCCACATACAGGACTTGTGCTCCTGGCCTTGCTCGATCGTGGTTCATGCTGGCAGGCAACTGCTTTTGCCACTCATCAAGTAACGGTTTGCGGAGTCGACACCAAACTCTGTAGAGGATCGACGTCAAGGTGATGGGTCTTTCTTTGCTGCTGTTTTTTGGGAGCGTGACAACCGTGCGCGTCTGCTGTTGTGTGGGCGGCTGCGCCTGTGCCTCCGTCTCTTGGTACGGCTTGAGCAGTGCCTTGACAGCCAGTGGTGGCGCAGTACGAAGTAGCTGTGCTGTGACTGCATCTGGTCCACAGGCCTTGTCAGGTAGGTGCTTGAGCACCCAGGTCAAGTGTCCTATGGTGAGTGGTTCGAGCTGCTGCGCTTGTTGCCTGGCCTGTTCCTGCAGACTCGGTCGTTCATGTGGCTGGTCATCTTGTCTGATCGTCCAGAGGTGTCCCCAGTCTTGTAACCTTTTGGTCATCCTCTCATCTGGTGGCAGATTTCGGTACGGTCGTTCCCAGTCACTGCTTCGAAGGCTGCGGAAGAGTCCTTTGAGCCCTTTGGCATGGCCTTGCTGCAACCATTCTTTGTATTGGAGGTGACTTTCATCATTGGCGGCTTGTTGGGCTTGTTGAAGTTGGTGCCCAATGGTGTGGTGGACCAAATCCGCAGCGTGGCCATCCTTGTATTTGTGCCAATGGTGACAAGTGTCAAGAAATTGTCCCCATGTTGGTGGGCCAACCCAATGTTTGGGTGCATCATGAATGGCCTGCATGAAACCCATTGTAGGGCCTTTCGCTTGCTGCTGTGGTTGCTTGAGGGCTAGCTGGAAGCGGATCTTGAGTTGTTCCCAGAAAGCTGGTTTGCCTCGTTTCCAAGTGGTCACCGTGGTGCATGGCGCCAGTGGCTTGAACGTCGCCCTGAGGCTTGCTTCCCGGCCTTGGGCAGCCCAGGCATGCTCTTGGAGGAGATACTGCTCTGTACACGACACCCAGTCTGCCCACTGTTGCGCTGTTTCGTTGGGTGGATTTCCATAGAGCTCCAAGTCATGGGCTGTGGATTGGTATGTTGACCAGGGCCTGAAATCAATGTCTGGTGTAGCTGGAAGAGGCGGGAAGTACTGGATCTGCCTGTACTCTTTGGTGGCTTCTTCAATGTTGAACTGGTATGTGAGGCCTCCATGGGATGGCCCAGTCAGTCGTGAGGGCTGTGGTGCTGGCCAGCTGGCTATGGATGAGGGCATAATTGATTAATTACATTGCCCGACAGGAGGCTGTGGTCCGGGTGCAAGCACTTCAAAGTGAAATTTGGATGGCAATACTGTGCTGGTGATACTGCCTGGGCTGTTTTGCCAATCCCCAAGGAGTGTATGAGAGCAAGTAGCCTGGCCAGTATGGTGGCGTTTGTGTCGCTCTGCAAGGTCTCACCAGTTTTCATATAGATGCCAGCTACAAGGACGGTGCATTCAGTCGCCTGCCAGAGGAAAGCTTGGTATCCACAGCCTTGGTTGGTGAAGGACTCAAGTGGCGTGAGTCCGCAGGAGGGATCACCAAAGCACAAGGATGCCACCGTGTGTCCCTGTTGCTCTCATTGGCCATGGCCGGTGTTCCAAAGGCTGTCCTGCCCCAGATGGTGAAGTATTGGCAGGTCTGCTGGTGCTGTTGTGGATGTACACTTCACTT